GCACCTGGGCTTGCACTGTAATGATGATGATGAACTGCTCTTTGTAGTGGAAAAAGGAAATAATAATAACAGATGAATTTATATGTATAATTGCGTATACATATACACATATAGACTGACACCCATAATTGTTGTATTTCTGTGTTTACTGGGTACGTTGGGCTAATGGTTAATATCTGTTTTGTTTGCTTATGGTTTGCTGGATCGTTGTGTGTGCTTTGACCTGCAGCGTTGTGGTGATACGATTTTTGCAGAGAAAAGAAAAAAATAGTGATTTATACAATTTGTATTCTTAATTCCTTGAACAGACCAGTGTACATAGAGAGTTGCGCTATTTTTTCTGAGGTTGGTGCTTCTCTCAATTTGTGTTTTTTTTCATACATTTTTTGTTTGGGCGCAGTGTGGTTTCGGTTTTAATGATGCGTTGAATTGTTTTGTGCAGAGAGTAAATAAAAAAGGAATTTATATATATATTCATAATTTTGCACATGGTTCTACTGAAAGTGAAAGGGGTATTTATTTCTGTGCTTTCCTCTTCCGATGGTTATTCTCTTAATTTCTTTTTCCTGTTTTTAAGGGGTTAATTGTGCTTATCTGTTTGTTAATGGGTATTGTGTGCTTCTTTCTTTCATTTGGACACAATCTGAGAGATGGTTGCAGATTTCTGTTATGCACAGTTTGCTATTACCCTTTTTGTTTAGTTCTCTTTATGTGTTTTACTTTATTTATGTTTTTGGTGACTCTCTCTGTTTTCTTTTTGTTTAGATCACCCAATTGAGATAGTAACACCAACGAAGAAAGTAATGATGTCAGTACGCCATCTCTTTTGTATTCTCACTATCGTACTCTGTTGTGTCTGCAGCTCTGTGGTAGTTGCTGATGAAAAAACACCTAAGGATCAGCCTGAGGAAATTCCTCCTGGAGGTCCACCTGTTCCTGGTGTTGTGCCTCCTGCATCTTCTCCATGTCCATCTAATTCAGCAGCCGGTTCATCTGAATCTCAGTGTTCTAATTAGAGTTTGGTCGTGAGTGATCGTAGTCAAGAGGAGGAAGATTTACTTAAGAATCAGTTGGTTGAGGTAGAACAAGAAACAGTCAGTGCAGGTTTGGGGGTAGGATTAAACGCAGGACAAGCAGTTCATCATTCTGATCCGGCAAAAAGTGTACCTGCAACAGTTCTTCCCAATGAGAAAGCTGACCTTGATGTGACTCTTACAAAGGTAAATTTAGAAAATCATCAAGATGAGAAAGAAAAGAATAAAGACTCTGAAAACACCCTTCTTGTTAAAGGTGTAGCTGAGAATGAACGTCAGAATGGAACCAATCGTGCTAATGAAGCTCAACCATCTACCGCTCAAACTACTTCAGTTTCACTACAAGGAGGGAGAGGTATAAATGATAATGGATCCCAAGTTGTTTCTGTCAATACTGGTCATGATCAAGGTGGTGGGGATAAACCAAAAGTAGAGAAGACAACAGAAGAGAAAGCGAATGCTCCAGGAAGTGAACAAGGAGAAGAGACGAGGAAAAGTGAAAAAGAAGCAAAATCTGATTCTTCCACTATATCCAGTACTGTTAATA